TTAAAAATTGTCAAAGTTGAAATTTATAATAAAAACATAGTAAGTGGACTCAAACTTTTGGAAGCAACTGTATATCACTTCATCACAAGATAGGTTTTTATATTACTCTAATAAATAGATAAAGATTTATATACTATAAAAAAGAGATTAGTGAAACCTAAGTATATTAGTTAAAGAAGAGTCTCTATTAATTTAATATTAATTCAAGACTTTATGTAATTATTCCATAATCAGACTATAATAAGTTATGTAAAAGATAGTCTGATAAGATAAAATAAGAGATACAGTATATATAAGTAATATAGACATAAGTAGGAAAATAATAAAATTTATATAAATAATTAAACATATATTTTTAAATAGAATAATTTAAAAAAAGATAATTCAAGAATAATTTACAGAAAATAATTAAAAAATAAAACTTAATCTTTTTAGGTAAAAATACAAAGTATTAATTCATAAATAAAATTTTTACATAAATATTAAAATTTGACAATTAAAACACTAGTACATGTTCTAAAAATATAAATTAAAATAGTTAATGTAATGATTATTAAAAATTCTAAAAATAATTCCCTTGTTATATAAACTTATACGAAACCACGTGTACTCGAATGTAAGAACAATAAGTATACAAAGTGGAAAGTACTCGCATTGTATAACCTTAAATAGATAATTTGTGTTATACTCGGACCAAGTTCTTTTTTTTGCTTCTTTGCTATCCGGCAAAACTCTGTTATTTAATATGAACGGTCACAATCAACTGGGCAGAGTTTCGAGCCCAGGACCTTCAAATACTGAAGAAGATTTGGCATACCAATACGCACTTCGCGTTGCATATTTAGCATACTTGACTCAACCAAAAGTACCAAAGGCCATCACATCTTCCCCTACACCAGTACATGCAAGACCTGCGTCCGACCCCACACCAAAGCGTCAAAGTGTTGTAGCTCCCGCAACCTTACAGTCTGCGGTCACTTCTCACTTGTCTGTGATTGGTGACTTGTTCAAGGATCCCGATAAGAAGGGTCATAAAAATCTCAAGTTTCCAAAGGAGTTGATTAAGGTATTAAGGGAGAGGCTCGAATTCATCTTATCAGGACGTGATCCTAATCCAATTTATAAAGATCACTATTTCAAGAACGATCTTATTATTTTCTGTCAAGCTCTTCAACAGCCGGGGTTTCGTCAACAATTCAAGGCAAATAATAGTAAAATTGAGGATATCGTCCTTATATTTCTCAAGACTTCTCAGGGTGAACTAAAGCGGGCCCAATTGCCACCAAACATTACATGGCAGAGTAAACTAACCGAGCATGTTAGTAAGTTCGTCGGTATATTGAAAGAATGTCTTAAAACTAAGGAATGCAGTTCTTCTTCCACGCCCGAGTTGTTGGCCAGACTTGAAATTTACCAAACAAAAATGTCAACCTCACCGGCTACTGGAGGGGGGGGGGGGCACACGAGCGAGAATGTTAGCGATACCATTGATGATATGGCAATGGTGAAATTAGTTCAGTCTATTTTTAAGGTCTCCACTAGTCAAGCTCAGAAAGACGTCAATGCGATAAAGAAGGATTGCACGCTTCAAGTAAGTAGGATAGATTATATTGATCTTTTCATCAGTGATATCATTTACGATAATTTTATCATCTTACTAGGCTGCACTGGAAGATATGAAAAATATTATAAACCACATAAATCGAGGTGCACCCTTTCCCGCGCGTCGGGAAGATTTTGAGACAGATGAAGTTTATAACAATTGGAAATCTATTGAATTAAAGACAGTCAAAGAACTCATGTCTTCCTTGATTATATTCACTCCGGGATTAAAAGTGAACGAACCGACCGAAGTAGTGAGCACACTTTTAAGCGACTCGGGTGCAAAAAGAACTTCTCAATATACTTCTCAATATTCCACTGGCCGACGAACTACATTCGCGACAGAACCTGCGAATGATGCATTTAGTAGATACGAGCAGCAACAACAACAAAAACAGCGTCAGTACAATTCATCACAACAACAACCATACCCTCCTTACAATCCGTCGCAACAACAACCATACCCTCCTTATAATTCATCACAACAACCGTACCCTCCTTACAATCCATCACAACAACAACCGTACCCTCCTTACAATCCATCACAGCAACCATACCCCCCCTACAATCCATCACAACAACAACCGTACCCTCCTTACAATCCATCACAACAACAACCGTACCCTCCTTACAATCCATCACAACCACCATATCCCCCTTCCAATCAGTCGCAAAAACCGTACCTTCCGTCACAGCAACCTTACTCTCACAACACTTCACATTCATATTCATCCGTGGAATCAAAAGAGGTACGTGGTGGATGGTTGATATTTGAATTTTTTGTCCATTACTTTTTGCTTAGATGACAACTTTGTTAAAAAGCAGTCAGGCGAAGGTGGTTCATTTACCTTTATACCACCACAACCCCGAAGGTACTACAAGTTACTTATGAACAAATGTATAGAGTATGAATTATTGAAGCAACCCACGGAAAATTCGGATAAGATTCTTTCTAAAAGCGTAATAGAATTACTGAATGAATGCGCTCTTCGTTGGAGAGTGTCGCCTGGGTTTCGGTGGCTACAATATTTGGATGTTCTCAGAACATATTATGACAATGAGCGTCCGCCAATTACATTAGATCACATCAGAGAAGGAATGAATTTACTGAAGGACGCTACCAAAAAGCGAGAAGTGTCTACTTGGACTATTAATGATGTTCGTCAAATCAAGTTTAAGTTAAAAACGTTTATTATTTCTAAAATCGAGAACTCCGAGGAATCTGATTCATTTAATTATTTTCCTTTCCAAAATATGAATAGCAAAGGGAACTCGTGGAAGTATATTCAGGCATTCATGATTCTTTGCTAAGGGACATGCGTGAGGCGCTTGAATATGTTTTTAAAATCAAGCCTGATCAATTTAATCCGATGGTTCAACTGTTGAATCTTATTTATGAGTCAGAGTTATTTCGTTCAACGCATTCTGATATTTCGAAATTCTATAATGATCTCCGAGAGATTGTTGGGGTATGTTGCGTCTACCCTTCATATCCTGTGTCAAACCAAAATTCACGTTCACGTGTTAACGTTTTTCGTGCAAACTAATTTTAAAGAAAGTTTCGGTCGACGTATATCAAACAAAAAGAGAAGAAATATATGCCAAGCAGACCGCGAACGAAGTGCAAACCTTGAACTTATTGGCGCAATGGATTCGGCAGGAAGTAGAAAAAATGGAAAGCAAATACCCGAAGCCAATAATAGAGTTCGTAATCAGATAAACACGAATGCAATTAATTCTTGTATTTAATGATATTGATTTGTTTCGATTGATGGTTTCAGTCAGATCGATGTTGTACGCTTAATAATAGAAAAGCAGGTGCCGCTTCTAACTTTGGACATGGAGAACGCGTCGATAGATATTTTAAGTAAAGTTAAGATGACTTCCGAGGAGGGTATCCCTGTTGAAGACATATTTGACCTTTATCGAGTGATTCTTGATCTCAAAGTGAAATTTGAGGAACATTCCGAGTATGCATTCATTCAATATTTTTCACGCGAAATGTGTTTGGAATTTTTTTTTTTTTTTACTAACTCGATCGATTTATCGTACAGTGCGACGTTTACATTGGGTATTCAGGAATGGTTTGGACCTCATGTTAAAATGTGGCTAGAATCCACCAAGAGTAAAACTTCGGATTGGGTTACGACCGCGATCAACGTGGACGAGGTTTGGTATATGCTTGTGTTGATTCCATATTTGACTTTTTTCTCAGATTGTTGATAGCATTATGCGACTTTAGTTCAAAGCTGTGAGCACGACGGACACGCACTCATCCTCCGTAGTAGATCTTTTCACATCCTTCAACCAAACCATTGACTTCATCAAAAAACTCGATTGGCCAAACAAATATCAATCTGCACTCTATATGACCTCTATGTCAGGGGTAAATTTTTCAATCGAATGGCATTTTCGCGCATCCAATGACACGCCTTACTGATAACAAGTTTCTGATTTACAAATCTAGGCCATCAGTGAAGCATTGGAAAAATATTGTGATGCTATCGAGGAACGTTTTAAGAAAGAAATGATTCCTGAGGAGGACGCGGAGCATGCAATGTCAAAGCAATCGAACTGGTACATAAAAGCCAAAAACGCGATAGCGGCCGAAAAAACCATGCACAACGATATTAAACCCACGGTAAATAGGTCGATTCAACTTCGAGATTTAAGTGTCGAGATCTTTATTTATATTATTTTTTTTTCTTCCCAACTTCTTAGTCTTGTATCATGTTGAATAATATCGAAGCAGCACGCGAACAATTAGATAAACTGGATAAAGCGATGGAGGTGGAAAAGTTAGTATCGATCTTGTATAAATCCGGGGAGACAACGGAAGCACCGGAAAGGAATAAATATTTATATACAATTAAAATTGTGCTAGCCGAAAACTTGTTGCCATTGGATAACAACGGATTGAGCGATCCATATTGCGTCTTGACAGACGAGCAAGGCAATCGTTTAGTCGAGACTCGTGTCATATTCGAAACCTTGAATCCAAGATGGGATGAGGCGTTTGATATTTCCATTGATTCATCAGAAGATGTTACGAGAAAATTGTGCATCACCGTCTGGGACAGGGATCAAGTCGGTTCTGATGACGTTTGCGGAAGAGCTGGCATCTATTTGGATCCCACTCATTTTAACGACTACTTAACTCACGATATTTGGCTTGACCTTGACACTCAAGGGCGGGTTTTGCTGAGAATAAGTATGGAGGGAGAAAAGGATGATATTAGATTTTATTTTGGCAAAGCTTTCAGGACGCTTAAACGTGCTCAAGACGACATGATCAGACTCATAGTTGACAGGGTGAATTTTTATATTATTTATTTTTTTTTGCTTTTCTTTTTCTTTTAATACCTAATCTTTTTGAAATCGTTTCGTAATCAACAGGTGTCACCATTTTTGAGCCAATGTCTGTCCCGTGAAGTTATTACAAAACTGCTTAAACCATCAGTTTCCAATAGTTTCAAGCAATTATTCAAGGAATCAGATAAAACGAAAAAATCGGGGCCTACAGATGTTGAGATTGAAAAGGCCATAGATCCGCTATTCGATTTCTTTGACTCAAACTTGATGACCCTCAACGAATACTTGCATCCTGAAGTATTCGAAATGGTGATAAGTCGTGTCTGGAAGAAGATAGAATCATCGATCGAGTCCTTAATATTACCACCTTTGTCGGATCATCCCTCGGACATGAAACCTCTCACAGATGGCGAGATTGATGTCGTTTATAAATGGCTCAAGGTATTTAAAATTTGTGTTATTGGCAACTCGTGATAATTCTGAGCTCTCAAGTCTTCGTTTCTAACGGCAACTTACTATTAACCATTTTAGTTTTTGAGACAATATCTTTATAATGATGGAATTGGTGTCCCTGTGGAAATATTAGAGAATGCAAAATATCAGCAACTTTTCAAAATGCAAATGTTCTATGATAATGACACCGAAAGTCTCAAGCAAGAATATCTTCGTTTACAAATCGAAAATTCGTTCAACCCCGCGAAGACTTCACTTCATATGAGCAAGTCGGTGCTGCACCAACGAAATATCGGTACAATTAAAAAGCGTAAAAACGAGAAGCGCAATAGAAATTCGAATGACGATAGTGAATTAATACTCAGAATTTTGAGGATGCGACCGGGAACCAAAGCATTTTTGAAGGAACAAATGGAAGTAAGAAATAGGAATCTCGCACCAGCATCAATGAACGTTGCTGCCCAACAAGATATTCCGCCTGTTCCGCCATTACGAAATTCTCGAGCACATTAACACGCATAAAAAATGCACCATTCGTCGTCGTCTTAATTAACTCTCTGTACTGCATCCTCTGGAGATTGTTTATTTATTGATGTTTGAGATTTGAAATTTAGATCATCATACTAATTAATAGCAAGCATAAGGTTTCTACTAATTATGTTTATCAGTTTGTATATATATCACATAAAAGCGTTGTGTATTTTATGTTATAATAAAGTATATTATGGGTAATAATACTTTGCAAATGGAATGTGAGGTCAATTGATCAAAAGTGAAGATTTTTGAGATAGAAAATTCGACTTCTTTTAATTATTTGTCCGTTTATGACTTAAAATTGACTACTAAATTGCAAAAGAATTATTTGTTTCTCTTATAAATCTTATTTGCGAATGTCACAAAAACATCCTTCTTCAGAATAGATTCATCCAGTTGAGAGATTAATCCATTTATGTGCGCGAATGACTCTTCTTCGTATGCTTTATATTCTTTTTCTATCTCAAGTTTCTTGTAAATCTTCTTGACTTCTGCTACATTTTGTGGATTCTTCCTTCCATAGTTTTCCTGTTCAAATTAATTTGGAAATGAGCAAGTTTTATACAACCCATAAACATCACTGCAATTTAGTTGCTCACTTCTAGAATCTTTCTTTGTTCAGGAGTTGCCAGCAATAATGCTTTGTTGATGCACCAAGAACATTTGTTATCTTCAATGTCTGTACCAATTTTTCCAATTATTTCTGGTAGGCCAAAACAGTCAAGATAATCATCCTAAGAAATAAAAATCCAGACGTCATTAAAAATATGTAGTGGTGTTCATCCAGAAATACAAAAAATAAATAAGAATGAATGTTACCTGGATTTGAAAATATTCACCCAATGGTAGCAATATATCTTTTGCTTTTTGGAATGCAATTTCATTCTTTATTCCTGCCTAATGATAACAAGTGGCTTTATACATCCGGGCGCGCACACACACATGTATATATGTATATATATATATATAAGTAGTAAAATGAACTTACCATGTGCATTGCCAATGCGACGGGTAAATAGAATGAATAAAAAGCTGTCTTATATAATACAATGAATCTATACCTACATCCGTAAATTTGAAAATGAGCCTCTTTCAAAAAATAAATAATATTCGGGTATAATTTAATTTTTCTTGGTATCTTACTTTTCCATAGAAAATCTACTCAAATCGACATTATCCTCGGGTGCAGTGATTAAATCTAATAGTTGTCCTAATTCAGTCTCAAGAGTGATCTAATAAAAAATAAAAATAAAATAAAAATAAAAAGATATGAAATTTGAAATAATGAAGAGATCTCTATCTAAAATGAATTATTCTAATTGTTGAATCAATACTTACCATGTGAAACAATTCTACCAAATCAATATAGTAAGAATCTTGGCGAAAATATTTCTTTAAAAAGAAATATATCGCAGATTCCAAAATAAAACTGTCATTAATGGCAATACTTCCCACCCCATCCTGCATCGATCAAATGTCAAATAATTAATAAAATAAATTACCAAGGGAAACACAATATTTAATATCAAAACAAACACTTGCCATTTTATACCAACATTTGTTTCCACGTCGAGTTAACGAAGAATCCATAATATCATCAGCAACAAGGAAGAAAGCCTGTAACTATGTTGAGAAAAAAGAAATAATAATTTTTACTGTCATGTCATTCATTAACCGAATCACATTTTTCCCTGTAGCCTTACCCATTCGACACACCATCCGAGGATTCTCGCCTTGAAGAGTTCTTCCTCCGTAACTTTTCCATCCTTCAAAATTTCGAGTGTGTGAACCACAGACAAACCGCGATTCATCTTTCCTATGCAATTACGATGGTTTTTGAATATCTGACAAGCCAAATAACAATGCCCTTAAATAGTGAAATGGATCGATTACCACCGGGGACATTATGAAAAATATTCTACATTATATGATAATATATGTGTGCAATAGAATTCAAGACGTGACATGTTAATGAAATTCAACAATAAAAGGTAGAAATACATACCTTTTTAATCCACTCGACAGCTTCGCTAGAGAAGGAACGAGATTGAATCGAATCAAGAAATTCTTCAGCAAGAATCGGAAAAACATCTTCGAACTCTTTTATGGCCTTTTCTTTCGAATCCATTCTACAAAAAATTAAATCTCTTAGTCGGGAACGAAGCTTCATTTTATTCTGAAAAATTATACACGTACTTACATTAAAAACTCCTAAGACTTTTGGTTTTGATACTAATTAGAAGGAAGAAAGCAAACGCAAAGTAAATTTTCAAAATAAATAGGTTTTCAACGGTTAAAATGCAATAAGTGACATTATTAATCAAATCTAATTTGTCATCTATATTGCATTTTATCCTCCCCAGCAACAGAAATTGAGTTTATATGTTTGAATGCGAGCTATACCAAAGGTCAACGCAGATGTTATCAATAAAAAATTTTCTTGATAAGTTCGAACCGAATTTAACCATACGATACCTAATCGGTTTAAATACAGTCAGAGTCGCACGGAATTTCATAATTCGGAGTGAGGACCGAATGGGGTTAATCAAGTCTTTAATAAGGTAAAAATGATATGCAAAACAATTTTCTCTTTCTTTTTCTTGTGCTA